TGCTTTTCCAAGATTTTGTCAAGTCGGTAACGAGTGCTGCGAACTATTGCTCCTGTACCAAATATATCCGCACAAAGGTTAGAGGATGTCGCGTACGCTCAACGTTTTTCCGCGGGCATTGTCCCTCTGAGTCTATTCACATATGTTTGGAAAATCCTACTCTCAGCTGAACACATTGAGGTCTCTAGCGCTGATCGCACTAGCCAGGACTTTAAACTTGGATCACTACTCCATGTCACCCTAAGGTCGTGTGTACCACTGTATCGTTAGGCGGCATTGGCTTGTTTATAGTGCTCGTCGGGCATAAACGAAGTTTCATATCACCATAATTTGTTGTCTGCCTTTTTACAACTTCTACACAAGTCTGTCGCAGCGTTAAATTGGGAATGTGCGGTACGTCCGGCAGACCTCACGCTCCGTTCTGGATATCCATTGTCCACTGCCTTCTCACTACTCTGCGTTTAGGTTCGCGTGGAAGTCGTAAAAAGTCGAATCGAAACAGATGACGTCGATGTGAAGCTCGGTTTCATACACGAAGAGCTGTATAAACCAGCCGATGTCGCCGTACGATCGAGTGGTGAGCTAGCCTGAGCGAGTGGTCCTAATTCAAGTCCACGCTAGTAGGGACGTCAGTGCGGCCAGCTTCCAGTACGATTTACCATACATGTGGGGAGTGGACTAAAAGAGAAATAGGAAAATGTGCGCGATAAAACGTTGAGCATACAAGATATTCTGTGTTGCATAGATATGTTTTCGGGTTGAATGGACGCCTTGGAGACGGACGTTTGCGATGAGCCCAGGCGCTACTAGGAGAATATAAAGTACGTCGCCATGCTCTTAGCAATTTTAGCAACAGCTTAAGACGATATGCACATCATGACTTAGAATGGCTGCACAATCGGAGCTTTTCCCCAAGGCTAAATGCGCAAATTCTAAGGCAATTAAAGACGAAGGGTATATGTGCGTCAATTGAGGTGCTTGACCTGCTCTGACCTTTGAGCACTTGTGGAAGATGCCAGTTCTGGCGCCAATTGAAATGAGCATCAGAAACTTCCCCATGAAGCAAGCTCTCAAGTAAAATAGCTGGTCGATTTTGACTGCGACCTAACCTTCATACCTGAGCCAAGGTCAATGGAATTTGCCATAATCATAAATTCAATTGTCGTATTGCCTGAGAAAGTATCTCATAGATGCATGGCTTCATCTAAGACTCCATGGTCGCATCATATAAAGCGATTCCGAAGACATTGTTTTGCTGAAAGCCACGGGCTGACTTTGAGCTTTCGTAGGTCAGCAACCGCTTAAGGTATATCTCCTTTGTTTTTACTGAAACGTTTCCTAAGGAATGGAATATGATGGAGAATCCTACAGGGATTAAATTGACCCTTCCCGCTCGAGTGCGTGTTGTAAGATTTTTCATTTTGCATGGATGGACGACTCAGGTGATCAAATAAACGTTCACTTGATGTTGCATAACTTCTTTTCGATAGATGTAAGCAGTGTGACATCGTGCCTGATCGCTGCATGATTGAGGTACATAACTCGAGAGGCATCCTCTAATGGTGCAAACACCAGCCTCCAAGCTCATCGGTGTTCGCTTGATCTATCTCCTTACGAATTATTACGTCTGGATCCTTGCCTGACAGGTGCTTGTTCGTTAACATGCAGGTTTTTGATCTGTCAGTTGATATTTCACACCACGCCGCGCTCGCACGGCCCTCCTTTTCGTGCCACATCCGGTTACTTGTGCTTCTTCTATGGCGCAGACCAGTGAAAGTCGTCCGGTAACCCCAGAAGGCACTGGGTCCGTGTCCATCAGGCTGTTCATTTGTTCGTCGTGCTCCTCGTGGGCCCGTGTTCGTCATCTGATCTGATTGTGACGCTGCTTGAGACATAGCCACATTCGCTACGCCTAAAATTGGCTGAGCTGTTGTGTCGAAATTAAATCTAAGATTAACCACAATTCCTGTTCGCGCCTTCTCCGTCATGGTACGGGTCTCAGGCTGACTGTTGAATGACGGTAGGCGGATACAGCGCCGGTGTACTGAAGGATGTGATTACGCTGCGGCATTTGTCATGGACAAAGAACCTGAAACAACACTCCCGCGTCGACTGAAGACCGCTGCTGCGGCCCTGCTGACGTCACAGCACCCGGCGGCAGCAGTAGCGCAGGCAGGGGGCACAGGAGGCACTCCCCCCCCCCCCCCGCCTTAGGTTCCGAGGGGCCTTTCGGGCCCTTCGGAGCCCACGATTAAGGGCCCGAAAAGCCAATCGGAGGTCTCATTCAGGGGACTCGGGCAGCAGGGCCGAGCGCCCCGATGCCAGCCAGAGGGCCCTGCGCGATGGTCAGGGGCCCACTGAGTCGATAAGGCCCTATATTTCGGTCAGACACCACCAGTAACGCAGAGCCGGCTCCATGGCGGCATGGGCCCTCAAGCAGGGACAAAACTAGGAGCCAGCGATTTCCACTGCTCGGGGCCCCAAAGCGCCTAACAGGCCCCCTGTGTTGCCAAGGGGTATCGATTCGGCCAGACGCAGTTTCGGGGAGGCCCGAAGAGCCTAGAGGGTCCGCCGGGTGCGACGATATCAAGGGCCCAATTAGAGGGTCTAAGGGTTTAAACGTTTGGTCGGAGTCCTATTCAGGGGCCCAGACCTGCGAAGACGGATCCTCAAATAACGGTCAGAGGGCCCTTTGTGCAGATCGGGGACCCCCCGGTCGATATGGACCTACGTGTCGGTCAGTTACCACCGTACCACGTAGTCCGCTCCGTGTCGGTATGGGCCTGAGGACCGACTTCCCAATCAGCTACAAAGCCGACATTAGTGATTGACACTAGTCGGGGGCATTGTATCTGTCGGGGGCCCACAGCGCCTAACAGAGGGTCCTGTGCTCGCAAGGGCCCCGAGCCGACCAAGGGAGCTTGATGAGGCCCGAAGAGGGGCCCGGGCGGCCCACCAGGACCGACTATGAAAGGCCCGGTTGGAGGGCATAAGGGCCCAAAGGACTGGCTGTAGGTCAAATCAAGCATCGCGGCCCGAATGGTCGTGACCTGAAATATTAGTCCGAGGTCCTCTTGCACCGTTTCAGGAACCCCTGAGACATTGAGGGTGTCTAAGTCGGTCAGAGACCACGAACACCGAACAGTCTGCTCCATGGCCGTCTGAGCCTTTGAGACCCATATCCCAAGCAGGAACAAGGCCGGGGTCCGGATTTGTAATGTTCGGGGCCCATGACACAAGGCGGGGCTCTTGTGACGGTTGGGGGTCACAGTGCCGAGCAGGAGTCCTGTGGCGGTAGGAAGCCCGAGTTGGAACGGCGTTTGAGGGGGCCCGAAGATGGGATCGAAGGGTCTCTCGAGACCAAAGATCAAGGGTCTGATGGGATGGCTGAAGGGTCCGAACGGCTGGCTGTAGGTCACATTAAGATTCAACCGAGAGAGAAGATTTGCTCAACAGGGGACGGGGACAGGAGCCCAAATGGCAGAGGGTCTCTTGCGTCGGTCGGGGCTCTCTGACATTTGATGGAAACATAAGAACTTAAAATGAGTGCTAACATTGGGATAATGTAAGAGTCGTATGCCAGTCAGTGCCACAATACTGAACATTGCGATCCTCCAGCTGTTTTCTCAGCATGAGCCCGTTGAGCCCAACTGGAGTCTTTGTGCCAATTATTTGACCACTTGCGGCGAGCAGGGATGTTGTTGCGTTAATGACGGTGCTGCTTCGATCCGGGATCAACTGCGCGGATCAGAAGACCCCCGTGTCAGGGAGCGGATCAGTGAGATATTATGCACCCCTTTAAGGGCCTCCGGATCGGCCAGGGAATGCCGCCCCGTGACGCCATAATAACGACGGAAAACCATACCGCTGGGATAAAATGGCCCTTCAGCTCTTGACCGGGAACCACAAAGTGCCCCATAGTGTTGTACTCAAGCGGGCCTCTTTACCGGAAATGAGGGGTCTCACTAGTGCTGCATGAGTGGATCGAAATGAGTTCAAAATGCTCAAGGTCATCCCATGTTTGTCTGAGAGCATTTATTATTATGCAGAATCGACTAAGGAAACAGGTGCCTTCAAAAGGGTTGAGCCTGCGCGCCGGGTGCCAACATATTTAATGTGTAGGTAATATGTAAATAGCATATCGTATCTAAGAAAACACGCCCTCAATAACAAATGGGCCACACATGTGGCGTCTTTTTTGGGGATGGGGGCCTTTTACGCTCAGGGCGTCTTTTCTCAACCTTGTGCCCCCCCCCCCTTGCCAAGGCTCTGGCTATGCCCCTGGGCGGCAGGTGATATGGTGACCAACAGCTCCGTTCCTTGGTGTTCAACGGCGTCTGTCGCTTGGTGTCCAACAATGTCTGCTACGCCACGGCCTACAGCGATGGTCGAGTCATGGTGTAACCCCGGGCGTATAGAGCGGTCAAGCGACGAGGAATACGGCATGTGAGTTCCTGTTTGCAAATGTTTTGTTGCTCGGTGTTGTAAAATCAACAAATAGCAGCAAAACGGATATATTTAACAGTCTCGTCCTTCTAGGATTACCGAGATCGCATCACGATTTTGGTATTGTGGTCATATGACGGCAATGCCTGCAGGAATGTCGGCACGGTCTGTTTTAGTTGTGTTCTGTTTGGACCGTTGCATTTGGTCGACAAACCAGTTTTTGTGTCTCTTGCTAATCCCCTGCCTGTGTCAAACAGAACTGGTCAAATTATGTAAAACCATGACAAAGAAAATTGACGGATAGCTTTTACGGCAAGCAACTGACCACCGTCGCCAAGCGCATGCCGACCCCCAATTCCCTCACTAACATCCAATTGAAAGCCTTGAAGCGTGCAGCTAGCATGAACGGACCCCCATCCGCACCCTCTTCCCCCCCCCCCCCCCCTCGGCGCCGCTCCGTCGGCGCTGGGCGCGGCGGGAGCGACTCGTGACGTCACGGCCGGCTCTCACGGGCCCGAAGCGGGAGAGGACGCTACAAATACGCCGGCGCTGCCTGGCGGGCCGCACAGCCGGGTGGGACGTGAGCGCGGCGGGCATCGGTGGGGGCGTCAATCAGCGCGTGCCAAGATCGGCGGGGCGTCTGTCAGCGCGTGCCAAGATCGGCAGGGGTGCCAGTCACCGTGCCCAGATCGGCAGGGGCGTCAGTCAGCGCGTGCCAAGATCGGCGGGGCGTCTGTCAGCGAGTGCCAGCGGAACCACCATGAGGCTGGTGGTGGCGAGTCTGCTGTTGGGCGCCGCGCACCTCGGTATGTATTGTGTCCACCATGGGAGAAACTGGCCTGACGGGCTGGGCATGTGCACGTGTGACAGGTTGTGGTGCGTCGGCTTCTACCTGTACATAAACCCGTTGTAATTAGTGGTTGAAGCTTCAAGAAGGACCATTTTGCTTCCCATGTGGTTCCAAGGATATTTATAATGCTCATTCTTGGATAAGTGAATTTAAGTTTATAACTTGCACAACAGGAGTATGAGCGCAGTTATGTGCTGTAGGTACAGTGATGTAGATAAAAACACTACTAATGCGGATGTCTTGAAATATTTTCACTTTGACGGCTCGGGATTACGTTGATCCAATGGCGCATACTATTCAGCAAAGTCTATATATCACAATATCTGGTTTTCGCTACTAGAATAAAAGGCTACACGGACGTGACATCATCATGGGACTACAGTCTGGTAACCCGCAGTATGGTTTTTGGTTGATAATACGAAAAGGTTTGTAGATACTGGTAACCTGATTAAAAACGGAGGTTTCCTCAATGGACTGGGTGGCAATCTCTTCTACATCTCTATTTTAATACCATGTGTATAGATGTTGTGCATTTTGCATTTCAAACTTTCTGAAGACAAATCAATTCTAGGATCTGCTTCCAAAAATACATCCTACTAAATCACGTTTTCTTTCCGTAGCACCCGCGACATACTCGTCGTAGTTGACGCGCAGGAATATTTCTTTGCAGTGTTTTTTAGTGAAATGAATATTTACACATAAATAAATAAATGGGGTATGTTAGATTTAAAATAAGTTTGCAAATGGGATACAATTGCCCATTTATCTTTGTACTGCAGTACTTATATGGAGTAAAAGGTGAAAATAAGGTGATGTGAGGAGCGCAGGTGCTAAGAATTTCGCTGTTGCTGTGCTATAACGTTCATAAACGTCGGTTAACTTGTACATCCATAATGTCCGATAGGTTAGGTGAAAAAGGTGCGCAGGGAGTAGTACCCTGATTGCCCGTTTATATCCTCAAGACTACTTCTGAAAGGAGACATGGGCCACGACTCTGACTAACAGAAATTGCAAAACTTGCCAGAAATCGTCCCATTTTACAGGAAAGTCTCCTATCTTGAACTGAAATGGCGTGCGCTGCACTTACGCTCCCTAGGTTTGCCACTCACTAACCCCATTAGGGCAGGGCAACCGCACATCTTCTCTGGCAACGCCCCTCTTAAGGTTACGGGATGTGCATTCCAACTTTTCAATGCACGTCCTAGGGTGTTACGAGCTTGTCTGGCCCGACGTTTCTCGTCCACCCCTCTTGTGGTTGTCGTTGTATGTTGTACTCCTTTACACAGACTGTTTTTAATTACTCCCGGTTAGAGTACTTCGGAATAAATCGCTGGTGAATGGGTTACCCACCTCTCTGCCGGAGGCAGGCTGGAAACGGATTTAAGTAATGATTTTGTAGCTCTGGTGCAAGCCCACGTCGTTTCCCAGCAGAAAATGGTTCATTGAATATGCTAGCCCGAAAAAATCCTGCCTATGGAAAAATTCATGCTTAAACCAGCCCGCAAAAACAGCGTTTTCACGCCGCCGTAGCGTTGGTGACATGATTTAGTCCCATGATGACGTCACAGCGTCGTTTACTCAGAATGCAGTAATACGGGTGTTGACCGCAGTTGCGTCCTGGACAAGCGCTCTGCTTTCTTTAACAGAACATGACATCTGCAGATCTAGTACTTCGCAGTTTTAAGGCTTCGCAGCATATTCTGGATGGCTTTTGAGTTCCACCAGGTGCTCGTAAAAGCTGGGCGGCTATGGGCAGGGGCATAGATGAGGATCACCCGAAAAGAGTGATAAATAAATTGCAAATATATTATTTCTAAATTCAATATCCTGCGTACATCCACCGAGCTCTCTGTTAAACTCACATGGCGAGGGCGTTGGCGATTAGTCTTCATTCTCCAGTCATACATCTGTGACGCCACAGCCCAAAATTGTCACGCCGTCACCCGACCAATGGCCGCCACTCTGTCACCTATCGGTGCTGCTATCGACCGGATGCTGCCGTCAGGCGACCAATGGCCGCCACCCTACGACCTACCGGTGCTACCATTGACTGGGTATCCTGTGACCTATCAGTGCTGCTGCCATACGCCTTGCGTCCGCCGTCGTCTGTGGTCCAAATACTTGTCAGTTGGCCGCCCTGCTGCCATGGCCCATGCGTTATAGGCTGCCTGTATCAACCGCCCCCGACTCACGGCCGCAAACCTGACCTGCCCCCCCCCCCCCCCCGACTCACAGCCGCAAACCTGACCTGACACCTGCGACTCACGGCCACAAGCCTGACCTGACGCCCCCGGCTCACAGCCGCAAACCTGACCTGACCTGCGGTGTGCGAGCTGCTCTTCAGTCCCCCATTTGCGAGAGAGTTGCGCCCTACGGCCATCCGCTTCGAGAAGGCGATGTGCGCAGACCGATGCTCCGGTGAACAGAGGCTGTCGGCCTCAGCGGTAATATGGCCGCGGGGACCATCGGTTTCAGAGGCTGCCCGTCACTTGCTGATCCTCGGGGCACGAATACCAGCCGTCATCCGCTGATTGCCATCCGCTGAGCCGCCATCCGTTGATGTCATCGCTCATTACGAGTCACCAGAGACGGACCCGGCGCCGGGAGATCGCTCACGAGTCGGAAACGATTCCGCCCGATAATCCGGCCGTCCAGTCACGAGCTGTTGAGAGAACATTCCGACCTTCCATGCTTCCATCCGTGAGAGACTAGGTCAGCCTCTCGCCTGACGTCTGTGAGGTCCCATTTCCCACTCGCCTGGCGTCTGAGAGGCCCCACCACTCGCACGCCTGACGTCTGAGAGGTCCCACCGCCCACTCGCCTGACGTCTGAGAGGTCCCACCGCCCGCTCGCCTGACGTCTGAGAGATCCCGCTGCCCTCTCGCCTGACGTCTGAGAGGTCCCATCGCTTGCTTGTCTTATGTCTGAGAGGTCCCACCGCTTGCTCGCCTGACGTCTGAGAGGTCTTACTGCCCGCTCGCCTGACGTTTGAAAGGTCCCACCACCCGCTTGTCTGACGTTTGACGTTGTACTGCGGCTGGCGCCCCGCACCCGGCTCCGCTGTACTCCACTGTACTGCGTACCTCAAGAACAATTTTCTGATTGTCTGTCTGGCATTGTGTCCCTGAAAAGAAAATAGAACCCCATTATCCGGCTTAGTTACCGATGTTATTCGGAATAAAACCAAACGTGTCTGGTATCGGTCCTTCGTGTTTCTTTGCGTCATGCATAGCGTATGAGACTGCCCCATATAATGGGTACAGGGGTTGTTCAAACCTCTTCACAGTACTGCACCGATCAAAAATATATCACTTTCATGGCACAGTTTTCAGCACTATTCTGAACAAAGCCGGGCGACTGTGCCTTCAGCGTTCTCTTTGTGCCGTTCGCGCAGGGCATTTTTAAATTCCTGATGCGGCTGCAGATGCAGGCTAGCGGCAGCCGAAGGTCGTGGCGTGGAAGGATGCACCGCAGGCAGTCGCCTGACCAGGACGCGATGGGTACAAGGACTCGGCTCACACGAGGATGTGCCGGAGTGACGAATGGGATGACATAAGCAACGCTGACGTACACCTGCCGAGCACTGGGAGTGTTCACGGCCTTCACGGACTCGCCGGTGACCGCGGCCACGTCTGATTTTTGTTGGAATGTGGCATTGGGTTACGGATTTTTGGTAGTAAATCTGCATCCAAGACCTTTGCGAGATGCCCTCGGGTAGATATGCCGCGAAAGCTGCAGTTCTCGGAGGCTGAGCCATTCGGGAACAGGGTACTGGGCCTGAACTCACGTATCCTGCGTCTAACTTTCCTGTGGCAACCTCGTGTCCCTTGCGCCTGAACCGTGCTCTCTGTGTCTGACCCCCGTAACCCCTGCCCCTGACCTCGTGTCCCCCCGCGTCTGACCTCGTGCCCCCTGCATCTGACCTCGTGTCCTCCCGTGTGTGATCTCGACCCCCTGCATCTGACCTCGTGACCAGCTGTGTGTGATCCCGTGTCCCTACGTCTGACCCCGTGTCCGCCTGCCGCGCAGGTGCTGGACAGCGGTTCGGAGGTCCAGACCAGGCGCAGCGTGACCCGTGCAAGGAGAGAACTGGTCTGGCGCCGCACAAGGACTACTGCGACCGCTACTTCGAGTGCAGCGGCGGCCAGTCGTACGAGGTAGACTGCCCGAACGGTCTGGTCTTCACCGGCAAGAACGCCTTGCTCGACAACTGCGACTACCCGAACGAGAACCCGTACTCGTGCGAAGACAAGCAGCTGGCTAGTAAGCTCTGCAGCCCAAGTGTGAATGGGCGAGGTCACGTGGCTTTTCCGTGACCGGTTGGGGTTTAACTGTGTTTTTGTCGCTGACTATATCGGTGCGATCAGTGCTGTCCCTTGAGCTGTTGCACGTGCTATTGTGCTACGCTGTAGTGGCTATTTACGGCGCGTCATTTTCATACTAGAACCCCAGACAGTGGGTGTAATGGCAGGAAGACTGTCAGCATTTCCAATGTTTCTTTCATGAACTCCATGGACCGCGCTCACTGAAACACATCCGCGATTACGCAGCCACACTGCTTTAATTTAGGACACCTGTCATAATTGTGCGCTTTCTTTTCACCACAGGTGATGATGAAATAGCTTTTCGGTAGACTTGGAAACCAGGGTCGGTTGGGAACACGCACACACGCACTAGTTCCGTTGTAACTTAAAGCATCTTGCTGAAGCCTGTGCTGCATGTCTGTGCAGCTTGAACCTTGTTCGCATTTCTGCTAAAATAATTACGGCAGGATGTTCCACTTCAGTTGCCGCACTCGTCGAGCACACCTTCCGCTCCAACGACACGAGATCTCACTGGGCCTTGTCACTCACTCTCTGTCCACCAGATCCGCCCATCGCCACGGAGCACTGCGACTGGCTGTACGGCATCTTTGGTCACGAGACCTCCTGCACGAGGTACTGGACGTGCTGGAACGGCACTGCCGTCGAGCAGTTCTGCAACGGCGGTCTGCTCTACAACGAGCAGACGCACTCCTGCGACTGGCCGCAGTTTGTCTCCGACTGCCAGAAACACCGTGAGTAGACAGCAGTGGGATGGTAAACACCGTGAGTAGACAGCAGTGGGATGGTAAACACCATGAGTAGACAGCAGCGGGATGGTAAACACCGTGATTAGACAGCAGCGGGATGATAAACGCCGTGAGTAGACATAACTGAGAGGATAAACACCGTGAGCAAACAGCAGTGGGATGGTGAACACCGTGAGTAGACAGCAGTGGGATGGTAAACGCCGTGAGTAGACAGCAGCGGGATGGTAAACACCGTGAGTAGACAGCAGCGGGATGATAAACGCCGTGAGTAGACATAACTGAGAGGATAACTGAGAGGATAACACCGTGAGCAAACAGCAGTGGGATGGTGAACACCGTGAGTAGACAGCAGTGGGATGGTAAACACCGTGAGTAGACAGCAGTGGGATGGTGAACACCGTGAGTAGACAGCAGCGGGATGATAATCACTGTGAGTAGGTAGCAGTGCGATGAACGAAGGTAGAGTAGCGTGGCCGAAATATGGTAATTTGTAAGGCACTGCAAGTGGTTATTCTGATTTAGTAATGTTAAAATGTTCGTCATTTAAGTGATAAAGCTTATGAGGCCATACAACCAGTCTGCATTATTGAATATTGTGTGTTATGCAAGCCGGCACACCCATACCACTACACCAGGATCGGAAACGTGCTAAGGAAGGCCCTGAAGGATTGTGTACGAACGATAAAGACGGCAAACACGGTGAAGGAAAATATAAATGGCGCACGCAACTAAGTAGGCAAATGCCTGTTAAAAATCATGTGAACGTTATCGCCTCCCCCCTTGAAATTTTGTCTGTATTTTGCTCCTAAGGAAAATGACTATGGGAGTAGCAAAGATCTTTGTTCATAAGTAACAGCCAATGGCTCGCCGACTTCCAAGTGATTACACGTCCCAATGCCGGGAGGGTCATGACTGGGTTGTGATTCCGAGACATGTCGTTACTTGAAGGCTCATTTGCTTCATAACGCAGCATTTGCACGCGTTGCTGATGGCAAAACTATCTTGCAAAACGCGTTGCAATGAGTGGGTCTACACTAAGGTAACTAAAAATATGCGTAATATCATCCGAATTAATTGCAGCCTAAAGATGTGCCAGGATTCCAAACCAGAAGCTGGGTGTGGCTTCTTCAGTAAAGCGGCGCTATGGTGAACTTTTGACGTTCCGTTGACGTTTTGTCCACAGAAATGGCACTAACGAGCTACCATTTTCCTATCAACCGATCAGGACACTTTGCGCTTGAGATGTAACCGACCTTTTTGGCCGTTATCATTTTCCAACATTATACCTTTTAAAATTATGTGGAACTCTTGTCCTAGGAATATCACCCTTCAATTCACCAGTTACATTGGCTCGGAGACGGGATCGAGCCATCATGGACACATCACATGGAAACACTGACGTTTCAAGTAGAGCTCGTAGTCAGGAGCAATAAAGCTAAGACGAAAATCGTGCCCTGTGCTCAACACCCCGTTCACGCCACGCCCTGCTGACGGCAGCGTCGTTGTTGCAGCGCTGTGCGTGGAGGACGCCAATGGCAACGTGCCACTCGGCAAGTCGTGTGAGCGCTACTGGAGCTGCCAGGGCGGCTACCCGCGGCTCATGCGCTGTCCGGCCACGCTCGTGTTCGACCGCCGCTCCCGCCGCTGCGTCAACCCCCCCACCGCCGACTGTGACGTGCCGGCCACCGAGCCGCCGCCGCTCGGGGAGCCGGCGTCCCAGCGGCGCCGGCAGCCGTCCGGACGCCGGCCGGCGCTGCCCCTGCTGGCGCTGGACGCCGACCCGCCCCAGCTGGCCGACCTGGGGGCGCTGGGGCCGGAGCGGCGCGCCCGGGCCGGCCCGCCGCCGCCAGCGGCCGAGCCCCTCAACTGAGCGGCGCGCGCCGGGCGCGTCATCGGGACGGCTGCCGCACCTCTGGCCTCTCAGTCATCGGGACGGCTGCCGCGCCTCTGGTCTCTCAGTCTCAGTTTGTCAGTTAGTCAGTCCGGTCTCTTCTGGTCATGAAGCGTGACGAGCGACTGGGCTTCGTTACGAGCCCCATCCTACCAGAGGCCAGGGGTCAGCAGCTGAAGGTCAGCGGTCAGCAGCTAGAGGTCAGCAGTCAGCAGCTAGAGGTCAGCGGTCAGCAGCTAGAGATCAGAGTTCAGAGGCCAGCAGTCATCAGCTAGAGGTCAAAGGTCGGAGTGGGCGGTCACCGGACCTTCCTCTACCCGCCGCACTGCTCCATCGGACCGGCACATTCCTCTGTGAACATGTCGACACTGGCCTGTTTATTGAACAGGTTCCCTGCACATATTGAACGTTCCCGAACCCTCGACGCATGCCGCACGCAGAGGCGATGTTGTTCGCGCAACGATCACGTGGTGGTTAACGAACGTTGTCATAGTGTTATGAATATGTTATGTCGGCGTCATCAGTCATTTGTTTTGTTGTGTTAATTGTACAGTGAGTATGGGCGCCACGTTCAATATATATTGCGGGCATCAGCCGTGTGCTGACTGAGATCTTGCCAGAGAGGCTGGACACAGACATATTGATGTCTAAAAAAATTAATGCAACAATGCACTCATACGCTTTTCGACAGTGCAGCACAATGCGCGACAATGCGACAACATTTTTCAACGACGCATCGATCGTCGTGTGTGCATTCGAGTTTATTTAAGAGAGACAGATTGCTGAGCGTGCCACCTGATTGTTATCTAGTTGAGACATCACAGCAGAATTCAGTCATCTTAACCCAGCACTGACCCGGCTCCTCAGCGGCACTGCACTGACTCGAGGGGTTAGATTCGACCCCCCCCCCCCCCCAATATTCAATTTTAAGTGTGCAGTAAGGTCACAGGTAAAGGCCAAGTAATGAAAATGCAACTTTGAAATATCTGACCGCTCCCATAAGGCATTTGATTTCGGAGCATATCTCATGGTGTAAAATAATGGTGCTCTGATCCCACGTGCTACGAAGGAGGGCATCAATCTTACGAGTGTCGTACGAATCATAGAGCCACGGCCACGCGCTGTGCAAATGAGAGCCGAAGCCTTGGTCTTTATTTCTATTTTGGTCAATTTATTTTCGTCATATTTGAATCATCTAAACGCAGGCCTACCGACAGCGTAACCTGATACCTTGACCTCGCCGCCAGTCCCGTGGTCGTCTTTTTTGGTGTGAGCCTGGTAAACGGCTTCCGCCACCCCGTAAACGCGCCGTTGCGGTGGACCTGGGCCGCGCCGCCCGCCGCCGCGGACTCGGGCCTACCTGGGCACGGGTAACATGCGCTGGGATACATTTCAAGCCATAACTCAGTCATTATCGCAGATAATTGCCTTAAACTTGGTGCGAACATCCTTCATAGTTGCATCTAGTGAAAACTTTTCGCGTCTGCACAATTTTGAGTCTGAAACCAAGGGATGTTAAGCGTGCGTTTTATAAATATATTTGTTATTTGACACGAAATATTTCAGGGTGTAAGATTGAAACGGCACAACGACAAGGCATATCAATGATGGAGTACCTGGCCCACGTTCACCGTTTACATGTGTAAAATATGCTATATCGTCGGCGTCTGTGTCAATTTGTTTGCGGCCACGCGCTTTTGTAAACAAATTGGCAAACATGACGTCACCCACGCTCGATGTGTCATAGCCTCGTGGTGATATTCTGACGCAAGGTCCGGAGTTGCTTATTTAACAGCTGCGGAGAATTTTGTAGCGATATCTTAAGGCGTTGTTGAATTATCACGAATATTGGATAAGGGACATATTTGACCCCGGCCAATGTCGGACTAAGAGTAGCCTTGCCATTACCACCCATAACAAGTGTCTGGAAAATAAAAGCGCCTCATTGCCAGATATTTGTGTTGTTTTCTTATTGGAGGAAAACCGCTGTTGTCTTGAAATACACAAGACGGCTACTTTTGGACAAGTTAATGATGAGTGATAATTTTTACATGTGCACCCGCATATTGGCGACAAGCGGACTCCGCCCATTCTGCCGTCTCGTGCGTTTCTGAAAGTTTCCCTGAGAAAATGTTTTCCACGATAGTGGCTGCAGGATCCTATCCCATTCCTAGCTTTCACGGTTTCTGTGTAAAATTCGAAATGCACACTAGCTTTAAAAGCTGCGTGCCATGCTTGCAATTGTAAGCGTCGTAAAGCCCCAGTGATGCACACACATGCTTACAACAGTCTTTTGAGCATATGACTGGTTGGAACAGCGCCTGAGTTCCGATCGTGTGCCAACAACAGGCTTAGTGCAAAAATGCATGCTAAAACCTAGCCCTCTTTTCGAGATGTGGCAGTGTAAATAATGGCCCAACCAATCTACGTCTTCTTTTAAACCATGATTATGTGCAAGCGTGTAGTCACATTTATGTCAACCTGATGAATAGAAAATGTGTTTTATCGATCATGCAGTGTGATGCTATGATGGAGAACAAGCAGTAAAGCGTATATGACCTACGTTAATTTGCTCGAGTTGAGATGCTTTTAATAGCCTCTTGTGTGCAAGGCTTCATGTGTGTTCCGTGAACCCGCTACCCTAAATGATGTCGGCCAGAACCCCTTTCCTAGCTGTCAAACGTCATTCCCAGGTTGTCCCCGATGACGTCACAGGTAAGTACGTCACAACGGTTCTGACGTTTACTTTTCAGCTGTACTCTCTTACAAGGGCAGCAGCTCGCACGTGGCGTGACCACCTGTGACGTCATCTGTGTCAGGACCGATCTGACATCATCGTCAGATAGGTCCTCCGCGAATGAAAAACTGGCTCAGTTGAACGGGACAATGTTGACTCCAGGCTTTAGGCGAACGCGACTGTGGGTTGACCCTGGTTGGCCGGCTGGTAGCTGACAGTTCCGCGCCCGTTCAGTAAACGATGTGCGCTTGGTGACTTGTACCTATTGCCGCCGGCTATCAGTTGAAATTTTTCCCTAAGCTACGCAGGGGTTACGCTCCTTGGCATCGCAAATAAATTAGATCGGCGCTGATAAAACATGAGTTTATTTTCAATGTAGTTATGTGTCTCCTTCTACTACCTGTTTTAATTGCATTGGTTTTGCTCTAGCTGCTCCGCAATTATCGTTCGCGTGGCCTTGATGTAAATAAACTAAGAGGGAAAGGCAGGATAATGGAGCATACTTGGAACAAGAGGCCCTCACGCGTAACGCAAGAGATGATTAGGGCACTCGATGATGCTCGCAATAATTCCAGCAACGCTTGGAGCATGCGGCAATTTATGGCATCTCCTCCTACGAAGCGATTGTACGTGATTATCGAGAATTGCATGAGCCGGTCGGCGGGACTGTCTGGCATTTAAACCCAGACCAGAAAAATTTAAGGCTATCACGCCATCCAGTGCACTGGCTTCCAGTTCAGCCCTCCAGCCTTGACGAATGTGCCACTTTTAAAGATAGTTTTAAGCCGTGACTTCGACGGGAGGCTCTGCAGCCGGTGTGTAAGCCAATGCCAAGAACATTTAAGATAACCTAGTCATCCGGCAGACTGCGGGAGGTTCCAACGGATATGCTACTATTACAGATGTCCGTTGGAACGTTAGAACAACGTTACTGCTACAGACTGCTTTAAGCCGTGATTTCGAGCGGCGTCTCCAGAGTCCGCGTGTCTTTTGTGGAGGTTACCGGGCCCGCCCGCGCGGCAGCTTTATAGTACCGATCGACTCCCTCAAGGCCGAACCTTGATGGAGCTCATCTTGACATTTCTTATCAATGTATGTTTTCATCAATCCCTCTTATAACGCAGATCTCCTCTGCATTTCTTCATGCCCATATCGATGGCAGTTTTCCTCGCGGTGGGCGCCGAGGTACAAATCTCTGGCCCTGTTATTTGTCCCAGGAGGAAGTCGCGCCGGGCATGCTGGCCCGGGGCAGCCCGTGGGGGGGGGGGGGGGGGGGCTGCTGCCGGGCGAGTGCATGTCCAGGCATCCGTGCGCCCAGGGGGCCACTGACGGGCGGCTTTCACCAGAGGCCGGTCAACAACAACCGGCGAGCAGCGCCGCCCCGACCAGCTGCGTGCCACGGTCCTGCTGAGCGATGGGTCTGCGGAGCCGACAGCACTGCGCACTGGGCCCGCGGCCCTGCCGTCGCCGAGACAGAAGTGAAG